TGTCCTATACTGTAGAGAAGCAAAAATGACTAAGATGACGAAGAATTTTCGATGCAATCTATCAGCAATCACTAAGGAGCTTGCTGTAAATGATTCTCAATGACACTAAACAGATGATCTGATAATTAATTTCTGCATCAGTGAAAAACATCACTTAGCTCTTTTGGATAAAAGTGTTGTAATCAAATCAACGATTTACATCAGAAAACATAATCGGCTAAAAATCTGAAGAAAGAAGAAACGTTTGTCATAACCGAATATTATATTTAGATGAAGATGAGCAGAATGGAGTTTCGAATTTTGAAGCATTCAAAAAAGCATGTGATCAAATGGCCTTAAAGAAATGAAAACAATGAGTACAAAAGGAAGCTAGTACTCGCTTTTGCAGAGCAAATAGCCAAATTTTTTACCGTCTTTGATGTGAGTTCGAAACAAGCATCATACACGATGATTATAGCGTGGGCCTGCATTTACATGTTTAGACATAAATTCACACGCATGTTATCAGAAAGCCAATTCTGGAGAGGAATGAGTTTTGGGCGTTCATTCATCAAGCCTTGAGCGAAGTGAGTATTAGCAGCGATACTTTATTTGAGTATTTTTTGACAATGGTGACATTGACGATTTTTTGAAACCTAACTTTTTGGTAAATAATCTTGAGCACCATATTCATAAAAATATCCTTCGATTTTGAACATTGCAAAATCTAATTGATGGCAATGCGACTGGAGTAATTTAATGATTGTTGTGTGATTAAACAAGGACCTCCTCGACGTCGATTGGAGGAATCATCGAAAGCTCCGAAAGCATCGTTAAATTGCTATTTGACACATTTGGTCACAAGGAACGGCCACACTTTAGTTACGAGTTGTGGGCTCGTTCAAGGACTAACAAAATTTTTTGTTACGGTCTGTCAAGAGATTTTCTTTATCTAAATCTTCAAAGCTGATTACATATAAGCGATTAAAAGAAGTACTCGCAAGTGACTGACACAGGGCTATATAAGTGTAAGAAAGGAAGCTGTGTCCGTGTCGGTCATACGCTCTTGATTTCTCGCTTCAAATGTTGTAGGGCTTGCCTTCCCAAATACTCCTATCGAGGCCACGGGTGCAAGCCTTTAACAGAATTCATTACAGTCAACATATACCTTATTTTGCAACCGCTTACAATGCCGAAAAAAGTACTATGTGATAGGTAAAATGTTGATCTTTTCTTTTCTGGTATCCTAGCCCTGCCTTTATTTAAAAAGGTGCATTTATAATAAATTTCAGAGTTAACAATAAAATTCTTCCTTTCACAACCCTGCGCTTTTTCTTGGTTAGCACCGAGGCACTCATTTGTGAACTTTACGATCCCCTAGTGAGCAAGGCAGCTTCGCTTCATGCAGAGTTGAGGTAAATGCTTTGAGAGTTTGCAGAGTTTATCAGTTCTTGTATGTAATGCAAAAATCCTGACATTTGGGTAATCATTGGAGCGACTTTCTCTTCAACATTTCTTCTCCTCTTTGCTAGAGGAAAGGACAAATGTTTCTCGGCTCTTGAGAAAAACGCGCTTTAATCAAATAGCCTGCGCAGCTGGTGCGATTAGGGGAAAAACGTGAAATCAAAGCGGCAAAGGTGTAATCGCTTCACAAAGGACTATTTGCTACCTTCGTCCCGGCCCTGGTTTACATTTCTGGCAACCCTACAAATTTTATTCGTAATCTATCACTGCTGTGTTTGCGAGTTAGAAAGTATCCTAAATGCTTTTGTAAACTGCATGAATATCTTTTCAGACAAGTTCAAAATTGGAGGGTATGTGATTTATAGAAACGCTCGCCATTCAACCAATTGGGCTGAAAGCTTGCATACAGATGTTTTCGACCCCGAAGACGGTTTTAGGCTACCTTTCACTGGATTCGCTGAGCCCTTCTATCGATTTATTAATTTGTTTACGTTTTTCTAAGGAATCAAAGGCTTATCATTTTCAACCAAGCATTTTCCCATAATCATGTAAAGGAGGGCGGTGAAGCTCATTTTTACCTCAGAGTCACGAGGATGCGGTTTCAAAACGAATGTCTCAAGTTAAGTCATCCATAACATATAAGGGGGGGGGGGCTCGCAGTGCAGGTGACCAGTGGCCCGGGCTGGACCGGGAAAGCGAACTAGTGTGCTATAAGATCTAACTTAGGTATGCATGACTAGCAAGATTATTTAGTGTGCAGGTTTCAAGGGGTGCTCACATTCATCAGAGACACAGTAGGTGTTTTTAAACAACTAGTTCTTGAGGATGTGGCGCAAAATGTTTGCAAAATTTGGACCTTTGTACGCTTATAATTTTTCCATAGTCCGACATCGCATATAAGAAAGGAGGGTTTGGATTTTTTGTGTACTGCTTTCAGAAACTCTTTTGGTAGAGGAACATCTCGATTGAAAAAATTATGACAATATTAGAAACTTCCCAACTTTCAATTACTATCTGATCATCCTCTTTTCCATTTCGTCAAATCCCTTCTTTTGTGCATAAGCATGTTTAGGAAAAATTGACTAGAAGTTGCTAAGGTTTGCTGTGGCTCAAAAACAACCCAATTAATAGGCCATAGCTTTGCAGAGTCAAGGGAAAATTTTAGCAACCGAGAACTTTCTGTAAAACTTGATTGGACGCAAGCTTTATTTGCTTCTTCGCTGAAAAGGCAATTGCCGATATTTTTGTTTTAAAAAAGAAGCTGATGAATTCACAGTAACAAGCGAAAAAGTTGATGACAGAGTTGTGCATATTGTGCACAACTTTATGATGTTTTTTTCTTGACATAATTTGCGACAGTGTCTCTTACAAATGCCTAGGAAATACATAGCAGAGAAATCAAGATTATTGCAAACTCGTGTTTTCCCTTACACTCAGAAGTTCATTTGTTATAGAGGACTGCATGTCGCTGAAAGTGGGAATGTTTTGACGATGCAGCAGATATCAGCCTGTGCATGTACTAAAAGGTGTATTTGTGGCAGATGTCCAAATGGACCTCCCATTTCCGGCGACATATAGTCCCATACCCCATTTGTTTCTCTGTCAGTTATGCCGAAGTCTCGTCTGTTCGTTGTTTTATCAAACGCTCTACGTACCGCTTACTTTCTCAAAATATTTTTTTCAGGTAGTTCACGTCAATTCGACAAGAATGAGAATTTTCAACCTTACCTTTTTGTTACTTACCATCTTAGTGGTAGGTTGACCAAGCAAGACATGATTTAGTTTGCGATTTGACTCCTTAGACTTACTGACTGTACATTACTTTGATGCTTACAGATTCTCTCTGCTGTGGACGTCGGTGAATGCGGAATCAAAGAAGTTTTCGGAACGATTAAAGAAAAGATAAAAAAGTAATCCAAAAAATTCCCATTATTGCCGAGAAGCTTCCGGGCATCGTTGAGAATGTGAGAAATATCAAAGAATCAATCAAAGCAATCAAAGATGGAAAGTGATATTTTGTGCTCGATTGAAAACCCTTAGCATTGTGATTCAATTGTAATACAGTCATTAAGTTGTTGACCAAGATTGGTAGCAAGACTTTATTGCGCGACAAGCCAACGTTGGCGGTCCGCCCGCCTTCATCAGGACTTCCCGAAGATTGAGACTTTGAGAACTGCCTGCTCAAACGCCCTGTTTGGCAATAAATTCAGTCTAGCTATTCTGATGGAGTAGCGAGTAGAGCCTGACTTCAGCCTTTTCAGATCGGAATGTAGAGACCGAACAACCATCTCAGACATTCGCCATTGAGTCCCGCAGGATAATATGAGGTGTCGTCACGGAATGCCTGCGCGACTCCCGAAATCGGTGTCGGGACAAAATCAGGACACCTGATTTTGTTTCGGGACAAAACTGCGCGACAAAATCCGGACAAAATCGGGACACCTGCGGGAGACACCATTTTGTCCCGATCGCATTCAGAGCAGGCGGCCTACGCCCTTGTTAATAGGTTTTTGCGTCCTCTGGTCTTCTCTCACGCCTCTCTTTTCACTTACTTTGAATCCTTCGTCTCTTCGGGTCTCATTTATCACGCCAGTTATTTTTCTGCTCGTAAAACCCAGTCAAAAATCAATAAATTTATAAACAAATACTACATATTCGAAGCACCACAATTACGACACAAGGTTACGAACAACTACAACAAAAAATGTAGACAAAGCATCAGGCTTCCTAGAGGTCATCGACGTCATCTTCTACGCATTCGGTTTTCCGAATTACCAGGTCTTCCTTAGTGATACTGGTACCGTTGCCTTCGGTGTCTTCGATAACGAAACGCTTTTTCTGAAAAAACGAAAATTATTGAACCACGATCACATAAAACAAATGAATCACTTTTGATGGAAGAAGAGCGGATCTTTCAGGGTCAAAATGATATGTTCGAATGTCTGCCCTGTAAAACTATAGTTCAGAAGTATCGCTTCTTCCGTATAAGAAAACTCTATAAACTAAAAACAAGGCTCTCCCTATTGCTATTCTTGCTTTACCGCTCCATACAACTCTTTTCTCTGAAAGGACATTGAAAAGCTTTTCGCGACCGTCGTCATCTTCTGCTAAGGACAACCACCACCTAAATTCTAGTGCACAAAAAGACCTTTCGAAGACATACATACCTATTTGGATTCCGCTTATGCTCGTCTGGCGTCCGCAGAAGTTCGCCACGGTACAGGCCGAGGGCGTCAAGGACGAAACCTAAATCAGTTATTTGAAGTAATGTACTTGGATACACATTGACCCACTTATTAAAAAATCGACCAATTCTTCTGGGAGGTCTTTGAGATGATCAAATTTTCCCTTCTTCCCACTTTGTCTACAAGCCATTTTTGAATTTCCGTTAAGGGTTCGCAGGCCTAAACGGTGATTACAAGACAACCTTATCATCTTCATCTATTTGTCGCCTACATGCAGAAAGAAGTGCCTCAAAAAGTCGAGTACCAACAGGAAATGGTCATGCCTGTGAGCGCGTTTTGGTCTTTGCCACTTCTCCATAACTTCGATCATATTCATCTCCTAAAATCAATACTTTCTTCCTTATAGACTGAGAGTAATCTCCAAATGACCTTGAAGGGAGGTGCACTTTCAAGATGCCAGACCCTGGATATATTTTTTCTCTGCAATGAATAACCCTTTGGCAACGTATCCTCCTTATTCTTCGCAACGTGGAAATTAGTCCTCCTCAACTCCCTATCTTGTTCTCTCAACTTCGATAAAAGGGCGTTCACCTGCAAACACGCCAATTCTTATTCTTGAACCCTGTGAAATCACGCTTACTGTCAAAGACAATCCTGCGATGGTATTCATTTGCTCCCTCACGACAGAAGTTAGAGCTCGGACGACCGAGTCAGATGAACTTGGAAGTGTTTCGACGCTTGTCTGCATATTTTTCACATGCTGCATGTTGATTTTTATGTCGCTTATCTTGGATGTGAGCATCTCCTTGAACCACATGAGTATTTCCATCACTTTCAGCAGAACATAGATGTATTTTATCACCTCATTTTCGACAGTGATGTCAAATTGGCGCACAACTCTCCCTAACTTCGCAAGCGACAGAGTGTTTTCCTCCAGTACTCGCTTTAAGGCCCCTAAAATACTCCTATCCCATTTCAGACATTGAAAAGATATGAACACAACAACTAACCTGTGGAAGATGTACAAGAAGAGGGTATCGTTTGTGGCTGCAAGCCACAAGATGCTGATGGAAAACTTTCAGTGCCCATACGGCGTTTGCGTGAACTGTTCCTGTTAATTTGACTGCTCGACGGCTCATTGCCTTGACTATTCGATGAAGTGCCGTTATAGTCACCCAAAAGGACATTTTCTTTGTCCACGTTTTCGCTGTCTGAAAGTTTCGTTTGCAAACTAGGGAAAGCCAAATTTTGTAAACCAACCAAGAAAAGAAGCGGAAAGGCTTAAGTAGTTCGTAGCATATTCTTCGTCGGAAGAATACATGCCTGTCATAGGTTCCAAATTTATCTTATGACTATGTATCGTATAGAATTTGATGGAAGATACTTAGCGGTTACGAAGCGCCAATGAATATGAAACAACAACATAGAAAGAGTTTATTAACTTCAGGAACCATATACATAGTTGCATCAGCAAAATCATCAAAGCTTAGAAAGATATTGCCTATCTTGTATTCTACGAAACTTGCCGCACATTTTATGTCAAAAGCATTGCGCAGACTGAGGCGTTTCCCGGTCGAAAGATAAAAAAATTGATTAAATATCTGCACTAAATTTAAAGCATCTATAGCAGCAGTTTTCGCTTCGTTCTGTTCATTGCACACGGCAAACTCTAGTCGAGTAAAAGGATCTGTTGTGAAATGCTCTTCCAAAAGTACATGACAACTTCCCTTTGAGTTATAAGCGAAAGCTACAACATTGCCAGAAAGTAAACTATTGGTATCTTTTAGGCAAACACAATGCTGCAACTGTATCCCGTTGTCTTGTCCAATATACTGCGGAGGAGAAAACTTGTCGCTTATGACACAGACGTGAACTAAAAACGAAATCCATGCTGAATTGATGTAAGCGCGGGAAGGAGAGCCTTACCAAAAAGAGAAGCTTTTTAATGGACTAACAGCGACTGATGCTCAGGCAACAGGTCTTCCAAACCTAACTCTGAAGAAGCAGGGACGTACCAGTTTTCGCTTAGTTGCAGGCTCACAGGAAACCTAAGACAGATGATAAGCAGAGCGAAGGATGAGTATGATGCTCTTGCGCACCTGTTTACCGACTTTGCCGAGATCTTATTGTGCAATTTCGTGAAAAGTGGGTTGCAACTGTGTTCAGCGCGTTCTGCGGAAAGTTGTAGGAGTTCTTTATGCAGAACAAAACTAGAAAGAATGGACATGCTGTGTCGGAAAAGGGAAATGTAATTACAATACTTCTCAACCAACGACTGTTCACAATTAGTTTTACGTTGAACAACTCGAGACTGCAACTCCTGGTGCGTTCTCTCAAACGGTGCAGCAGACCATAGAAAAGGTGAGCCGCAAAAAGCAAGATCTTCTATGATACTGTGATCAAGAAGACACTGAATGAATATCAGCGTACACTCTAGCAAAAAAAGCTTGCGAAAATCTTACATGGAGCTTGAAAGTAAACAAATTTGTCGAAACGCTACTCCACAGCTCTTTCGTAGCTTTCGCAAGGCTTGAAGCAGCCTCTATATCCTCAATTTTGAACTCTTCCAAGTTTGCAAGAATACGAACAAGAAGCCAGTAGACCAGAATACAAACGGATCCGACTGATTTACAGCATAAGTTTTCTGCGGCGACAAGGGGAAAGAGTACAAACATAAGCTGGGAAACGTTTCTGAATTGATGCGATAAAAACCGTGTTCTACCATACAGAGTCCTTCTCCGCTCTTGTCATTTTCGAGTGGTCCTCCAAACCGAGAATGAATCTCGTTGCATAGGTCATGTTCGGTATCCTCTGGAGTGTCAAACTCAGAGTTTTTACGTGATTTCGCTTGACCCCTATTATGTCCGTTTTCGCTCCGCTTTGGAACAATTCTGAAAGATTGTGACGTCTTCGAGCACAGTGTTAGTGTCATACCCCGAAATAGGTCGTTACTCCTTCAGATATCAGGTAAAGTGCATCTGGACGGAACCGTTCCATAGTAAGTAACTTCATCATTTCAGTTCTTCCTGAACATACTCATCAAATGCCGTTCTTCATACTATTCTATCAACCAGATAGGCCATGCATCTCCGCTTGAGCGTCTCGCAGCGTAGACTCCCTCGTCCTTCGCATTGCAGTGCTAGCATTTTCGTTATACCATACCATTTTGCCTTCCACTGCCTTCCACCTTTAATCCGGGAAATGTGCATAGATGGCAGCCATAAGGCGCATTCCAAACAGGCGAATTAAAGAGTATATGGAGAGCCTGACAAGCTGCTGTCAAAAATGAATCCCTTGAATCAAGGTTAGGCGTACACTAAAATCCACTATTCCGTTTCTGAGAACGGGAGTAAGTGGCAGTTCCTGCTCGACGCTAAACCAAGAACTTCGCGAATTCACAGCGAAGATAGATCAAGCTTACCGCGATGACAGAAGCTCTAACATCGCACGCGCTGGAGTTTTGCTCGTGAACAAGATGCCAGAAAGTAACATATTTTCGTAAGAATTTTTCTCAGCATGATCAAGACCTTCAATTCTAAGAAACAAGGGCCATGCTTGGGATCTTAAAAGTTTAGCTTGACAAAAATAGGAATAGAGATAGTAATCAACTTGGTCAGTCTTTTGAATGTCACCCCATCCATGCACAAGGTGAGAACAACATTCATACGCCTTGACAAAAAAGCTTCATAGCATTCCATAGTTTTCTGATATAGACCGAAATCAGAAGCTTCAATGAGGCGATGACTCATGTCCTGAACGACAGTACTATGAGACTTTCGCGACACTGTGGACATAACTAACTCTTTCATGGATGCTCTTGTGCTTTGCTATGAGCTGGTGGATTGTCTTTTTCAACACGATTCGCAATTGAGGAGCTAGATTGACAAGATGGAGAGACGCTCTTCTGGCCATATGAGACCTTTTGGGCGTGATGCTGCAGTGCAGTACTTATGATTCAGCATTAGAGTCTAAACAGTGTATGAACCCTTTCAAGGAGCATCCTGTCCGGTTGCAGACAGATGTTTTGTCTCTAAGGTTACCACAGCATCCGTTGCAGAAAAAATAGCGAGCGTACTCATAAGAGTGGAGAAGCTCGTTCTTCAAAAAATTGACATCGGACTTAAAGGTGCACTGGAACACTCGATTGATCATTTCAAAGAACTGATGCGATCGACACACCCTGTTTGACGGCGCTTGGCTCCTTATTTCAAGGAGGTCATCCAGATAACTCCCCATTGCATCTGTTACGCCAAAATGCAATAAAAAGTTGGCCATGTAGATGAGCGCCTCGTTCTTCTCGACATGAGGTAGTGCCCGCTCTGGAGGCTGAGAATCTGTATCAATTGCATGTGAAGGGCGTTGTGAGGAATCGTGGAAAACATCCATGCTTGTCAAATGGTGGGTGTGCACAGGGCTGTCATCTCTACTATTTCCAGCATTCTCAGATGTGGATAGAGCTATTTCGGAGATATCCGTTCCCAAATGTGAACGGATTCGCTTCGACGAAAGATGCTGGAGCTCCTCTAAAAATTACTTCATAGAAGTAAATCAAATCTTTTCAAAAGGTCGCCGGCCTACCATTCAGAACATGTTTTGTTTTTCTATAATGTCTAATTTTGCTCTCATCCATTGCAAATTCTGGAATTACTACTAACATAAATGATTTTCTCACAATGTAAGAGTTCCTGGCGAGCTGAGCTCTTATGATAAAATCTATATCAGTAAATGCGCCGGGAATGCTGATTCACGTGATTGTACAAGAATGTTCATGACCCTTGCGCGGCATGTGGTCATCACTGTGTACATGGCCATGTACATGGTGTACACAGTGTACCTGTCATGTACACTGTCGCAGCAAGATTTTGTTGTGTTTACTGTTAGTTTCTTTCTTTCCTTAATTTTTAGGTTGTTTATAAGTAATGAACATCTCTTTATAAACAACCTTATAACTTCTCATCACTGTGATCAAATAGAAGCATCATGTATATTGAGAGATGTAGCTCGATGTAAGGGTTGGGTGAATGACAACGTGAAGGACGGCTTCTACAAGCCGCAACAGTTATAAGAGAAAACATAAACGTGATGTCATGACGCAAAGACCTAATTTAATACCAATGAACTACTGAAAAGCACGATGTTTCAAAAAGTTTTCCACATTCAAAAAGCCAGCATGAGGGGCTGACGTGAACGTACAGTATTTGGACAACCTCCATCGGCCGAAATATAAGATGCTCTAGAAAAACAGAGCCTAAATCTTCTTAAGAGGCCTTTGTTTTAGCCGTTTTTCTAAATATACTAGCAAAAAGAAAATACCGTGTTTTTTCTAATTATGATTTCAGAATTTAGTCGCTAAAGTGCGCCTAACGAAAGTAGAGATGGGGTACTTTGCAAAATACATATTACACGTAGATTCGCCTTAGAAATAACATCAACGAATAGTGATTCATCGTAAGAAGTAATTTTGAAGTTTTTATAGGGAAAAGAGGATAGTGTATAAGAAAGAATTATGATTTTTTCGTCCTGATACTAGTTCTAGGAAAATGCAGCGAAAACAAAGCCAATCAACAAGTTCACAGTCTGTTTGTTTAAGGCATCTTATATTTCGGCGGATGGACTTGGCCAAATACTGTACGTCGTAAACATGAACTCAACACTGTTGCAATTTGGGCATTGCAATCTCTACTTGCAAAAAAACTGCACTTACCTAATATGCAGCAAATGATAAGCCTGGCTTATGTGTGACTGAACAAATAAGAGCGGAGCTTCCTCGGAAGGTGATTTGAAAATGAAACTAACCTTTCGGCAGAAATACAAAATGAACTTAGTAATTTTAAATTGTACTCGTTCAGACATGCTTCTGCGCTTCGGGACAAAATCGCAACAAAATTGGGACAAAACTAAAATGATGACTCCCGCCGGTGCACCGGATTTTGGTGCGACTACCTATTTTGTGGGCGGATCTCCTGCGGGACTCAATGGCGAATGTCTGAGCAGAAATGATATCCACGAAAGTCCCCGCGAAATGGGCTTTTCGTGCGAATAAAATGGACTTAGTCCATGCGGTGCGATAACATATCGCATTCGCGAATCCATTCATTCCACACAAAACTTCTTCAGCAAACCTTTCTTCAACTTGCCTCAACCTGTTTGCTCACTCTTGCAAACTCATTTCCACCAAGTGGTCGGTATCTACTAATTAGGCTGAGCTAACAGTACAGTGTCAGTCACGTGGATATTTTACTCTTTCCCGCTTCTTTACTCCTCACAAAATGCCAATTATTATCGATGACTATGCATCTAAATTACTTCCTAAACCAAAAT